CTTCCTTCCTTCCTTCCTTCCTTCCTTCCTTCCTTCCTTCCTTCCTTCCTTCCTTCCTTCCTTTTTCTTTCTTTCTTTCTTTCTTTCTTTCTTTCTTTCTTTCTTTCTTTCTTTCTTTCTTTCTTTCTTTCTTTCTTTCTTTCTTTCTTTCCTTCTTTCTTCCTTTCTTTCTTCCTTTCTTTCTTCCTTTCTTCCTTTTCTTTCCTTCTTCCTTCCTTTCTAAAGATTTTATCAATTTATTAGAGAGGAGAGCACGAGTGGGAGAGGAACAGAGGGAGAGGGATGAGCAAACTCCGTGCTGAGCATGGAGCCCAATGCGAGGCTTGATCCCACAACTCTGAGATCATGACCTGGGCCGAAATCAAGAGTTGGACACTCAACCGACTGAGCCACCCAGGCGCCCCTCATCTGTATTTTCTAAGTTTTCTACTCATTTGATGATTTTGTTTGATGGATCCTTGGAAACCATGGTGAACGAGTAAAGGTGAAGTTTCTCAGAGAGCTTATGTTCTAGTGCAGGAAATGGACAATGAATCAATGAAATGTCTTCGTGTAGAAAATTAAACTAAGCTGATGTGATAGATGGGTGGCCAGGGAAAAGTCTCTCTAAGAAGGTGACATTGAGGTGAGATGTGAATAACAAGAAAGATGGGGACAGGGTGTGGAGTGGGGAAGTGAACAGTTTACACAGAGGCTGGGACGTAGGGGTTGGCTTAGGTTGTTGGGGAATCTAGAAGACGCCAGTCTGTCTTGTCTGAAGCGGGTTGGGGGCAGGGAAGGGGCATGAGGTGAGGTCAGAAGGATAGTGAGGGGCCGAGCTTCGGGCTTGGTGTGGCCTTGGGAGCCCCTGGAGAAAATTGAGCAAGAGAATCCTGGAACTTCGCTTAGACAGGGTCCTCTGGCTTTAGCTCGTGCATAGATGGGGTCATTTGCTTGGGTGGCAAATGCTGTGGGGAGAGCAGCACCTCTGGATGTACCCACTTGTGTGCAAGTGTGTGTGTGTGTGCACATGTGGGAGCAACAGATGGCTGGTGGAGGGGGGCCTGCAGCCCACATGAGTGGAGCCCCGATCCCTGGATGGGGAGCCAGCATATGATCCTGAGCTCCCAAGTGTGGTTTTGTTCTCTCTCTCTCTTTTTTTTTTTTAAGATTCTATTTATTTATTTGAGAGAGGGAGAGAGAGAACGAGCAGTGGAGGAGGGGGGAGAGAGTGCGAGAGAGAAAAGCAGACTCCCCACTGAGCAGGAAGCCCAATGCAGGACTCGATCCCAGGACCCAGAGATCATGACCTGAGCCGAAGGCAGACATTTAACTGACTGAGCCACCCAGGCGCCCTGGTTTTGTTCTCTGTTAACCAGAAGTTAGTAGAGAGAGAAGGGAGGCTGACAGAGGAGTCTAAGCAAGTTAAGGGTATATTATGTGTCTGGTTATCTACACAGCTGTCTTTTCATCTGCCCTGTGACAGGTGACTGAAGGATGCCGAAGGAAGCTGCCCCTTGGATATGCCCAAGGGACGTGAAGGGATAGGAAGCACCCAAGGGAGGCACTGAGGGGCGCCGTGCACACCTCGTCTCTCCAGCTCTTCCCAGCCTCCTGCGAGGAAGGTCTGACCACACTCACTTTACCGATGAGGAAACAAGGCTCAGAGGGAGTGAGTGGCGTGAAGTGACACAGTCAGTAGGTGACAGAGCTGGGACCTGAGACCAGAGGGACTGATGAACAGATTGGTCCCTGCACCTGACAAGCTGTGGGCCCCAGAGTTGCCGCCTCTCTAAGTAGTCACTTTGCTGGTGGCAGAGCCATGTACTCAGTCAGGGTGTCTGTCCCTGTGCCATCCAGGGGTGACATTTTCAGCTGTTGCCTGAGTAGTGGTCTCGGGTAGGAATTGGCACCTCCGGCTCCCACGGGAGGGACATAGTGAGTGTTGGGGGGCTCTTGTACATGAGAGGGGGTCTGAGTCGCCCTCCAGAGCTGAGTGACCCTCCTATCTGGGCTGCCACCCTCGCCGGCTGGCTCTGGCCCCCTGAGAGGCTCTGGTTGTCCATTCCCCTCAAGCCCGGGGCCTGGGAAGCCCCGAGGATGGCCCACTAGAGTTGGGGGTCCAAGGAGATGGGACAGGCATTCACAGAGCTCATGCATCTCAGAGGAAGTGTTTGGAGGAACAGTGTCGGTGTCAGGGGTGGCCGGCTCTGCCTGGGCTTCTGGCTTTGGGTCCAAGGACTTCCCTGACAGTTGGGGACTTGGTGTCAGGCAGAGCTGGCTGGGTACGGTGACCACTCTGTTCTCAGGAGCTGCATCAGGGACCGGGGACCACTCACCGCTGCTAGCTAAGGAGGTGACTGCTTCACCTGAAGGGGGGCTGGGAGCCTGGGCTGGGTCCTGGACTTGGTCTCCCTTCAAGCTGCTCAGGAGAAGGTCCTTGGGGAACAAGGGTGTCCGGTGCAGAACAAGGTCACTGTAGCAGGTCAAGAACTCCTCACTGTCTGAGCGTGTGCTGGTGTGGCGCTGCAGCAGGGGGCCAGCAAGAGGGGTGCGGGGGAACGTCGAGACCTCAGGCGGACTCAGGGCCACCGGCACAGCGCTTTGATGGTCAGGGCCCTCGTCCAGGGCCCTTTCAGACCCCAGCCCTTCTGGGGGCCCTGGGCCTGGCTGGGCCCTCTCGGGACAGTTGTGGGCCTTCACCAGCCTTCTCCCTGAGCTGTGCCTGGAGTGGGGCCTGGCCAGTTTCTCTCTGCCCAGTTCCAGCACCTGCCTGCTCGAGGTTTCCAGAATGGCCTCACATGCAACTCTCGCCAGGAAGATCTCAAACACCATCTGCTTGGCGTCCTCCTTGCTGATGGCCTGGACCAACGAAAACTCCGCCTCGGAGGTGGCTGCATAGCCCAGCCTGCCCAGAAGGGTGTGCAGCGTGTATTCGGAGAGTACAGGCTGCACCCGGTAGGCGAAGTTCCCAGTGTATGTCTGGAACAAACAGGAGTGTTTATTAGAGAGGGGACACAGCCCAGCAGAGTGGCTGGGAGCGGCCAGGCCTGGAGGGCAGTGGAGACTCCTGAGAAGCACTTGGGCTGGAGCATTTGGCTAGATTGGAAATCTGGTCCATGATCATGTTACCCTCTGTCCCATTTTACAGAAGGGCACACTGAGTCCTAGAGACTGGACGGGACCTGGTCTCAAGTCACATAGCAAGAGAATGGGCTGAGCTGGGGTGAGGCCCTGATATCCTGGCTCCCAACCCAGCAGTCCTGGCCTGGCGCCAGAAGAGAATAAAGCTTTCCAGAGCCAGACTCCTCCCCTTATTGATTATGAGCTCTTCCGTTCCTCTTCTTTTGAGAGGCAGTATGGTCTAGTGGCTGGAGGCTGCACTGCCTGAGTTTGAGGCCTATCTGGGCTACTTATTAGCTGGTGACCATAGATAAGTTGCATTAACCTCTTCAGCTCTCAGTTTCTCCACCTGTAAAATGGGACCAGAGTCAGGGGGCAGGATGGCTATGCTCTTCCCCCCAGAGACAGAGCTCTGGCCCCCTCCCCCAGACCCCCTGGCTCAGAGGCATGATGGTGCCTACCTTTAGGGACCTGATTTCCTTCCTCCAGGGAAACAGAAGTAGGTTGACAGATATGAGCTCCAGGAACTCTAGCGCCTGCACCAGTTCGTGGCGGACACTCTGGGCAGGGCTGGGTGCCCCCCAGGAGTGAGTGGTGCCCGGACCAGGGACCAGAAGCTCAGGCAGATAGAACTGAGTGGGGGCTCCCGTGTCCAAGAGCTGCTGGGCCCTGTGGATGAGGGCTGCTTGCCTGCAGACCCGGAGCCAGCCCGCCCCTGCCTCCTCTTTGTAGTAGCCGATGAGGTCGCCCAGGAGGGTCTCAAGGGCAGCCTCCTCTAGGCCTGGGGGTCGGGGCTGGCTCATGGTGGCTCTGAGGGGCTGGGTGCCGAGGAGAGCTGTGTGGGCCTCCCCAGGCCAGGCCCGGGCTGGCCCGCCTCTGGCCCGCCCCAGCGCTCAGTCAGGAAGCTGAGGAGGAAGTGTGCCAGCAAAAGAGAAAGCTGCACCCAGCCCGGCCCCCCGCCTCCACTGCTTGTCGCTCTGGGGGGCTCTGGCCTGAGGCTGGCTGGGGCTGGGCCATCTCCTCCGAGTGGAGCAGAGCTGAAGTCGGGCTCCGTCCTCGCCCCATCCCCAAACAAGTGGGAAAGCAGATACAGCGGCACCCACATGCGTCCGCACCCCAGGGCCTGTAACCCTCAGTCTACTCCGGATGTCACCGGCCACCGTCCTCATGCTCATGCTGGAGAATGTTCTCTGGCTGCAGGAGTGTGCTCTGCTGGTATGTGGGACAAACTGCAAGGCCCAGCGTGCTAACACCCCCGGCCAACCCTCGGCCACTCCAGGAGGGTGAGTGCGCAGAAGCCCTGGCTTCTTGCCCTCCGCGGCGGCGGGACGGTTCTGAGGTGTGTTCTCCACTCTTGCAGAGGCTCCCCAGCGGTGGCCCACGGCAATAACCCGCTTTCATGGTTCTTGTCCCTCCGGTGTCTTCATTCCCTACTCCTCTTGTGCTTCCTGCAATCGCCTCCCAAAGAAACCGCACACAAATTCTTGGACTGCTTTTGGAGTAACAGAGCCCAGCAGTTACCTCTGTACCCTTGACCTGCGTGCCCTTGACCCTTCCTCCGTGCACTCACCATCTCCCTCCCTCCCCGCCTTCTGCCCTCCATTTTGTTTTTGTTTTTGTTCTCCTTTTACAGTTCGCTGGTTTATTCTCAGAATTGAGATTCGAATTATGCCCTGTGGCCCCGGAGGGGTGAGGATCATGCTAGAATCTCACCATATCCCAGCCTTCCCCCAGAAGGAAGTAGATTAAAATGACAACAGAGGAGATTTTTCCTTTTCATACAGACCCAGGTATAAATACGGCAGCACCATTAGGATCTGGATTCATCCCCACTGTCTGAGCCCCTTACCACCTGGTGGGGCAAGGTGCATTTGGGGAGATATGGGTGGGGGGCAGTATTTGGAGCTGGGCTTCCTCCCCCCCTTCCTTTTTTCCTTCCCTCCTTCCTTCCTTCCCTTCCTTCCCTTCCTTCCTTCCGTTCATTCACCCAATACTTAATGAAGCCATGATTCACTCATTCAGCCACTCAATGACTCACTGCTTCCATGCAGGTCAGCATTTCTCAAAGTGTGCTCCACAGGGAGCCCTTGTTGGGGGTTCGGAATCAGTCTTATGTGAGTAACAGTTTCCTGTGGCCGAATAAATTCTGCTGGGCTAATGAAGGTGCCCTGACCCCTTGGCTTCAGGACTTCTCATGGGGCAGGTGTGTAGGGGTGTGAATTTGTGTTCTGGCTCAAAGTCACGGTGAACTGATGACAGAAGCAGGGACAGCCAAACATCTGGGTCCCAGGACCTAGCCTTCCCTCACAGCGTTCCCTGCTGCCCAGAGGCTTCCAAGTTCCCTGGAAAGCCGAGGAGCTCAGAGGCCACAGGGAGTACAGGAGTGGGTGCTGTCTGGTCAGGGGCTACCAAGTCTGGAACTCTGCACTTACTGTCCTCAAGGCTGTGACACACAGAGAGGAATTTGTTTCCATCATCATTGAACTGAATGCTCTTGCCAGCTGTCCGCTGCACAAGGCATTCCCCACCCACCCCCAGGGTTTGCCACCCAGAGAAGAACCAGCGTGAGTCCTGCCCCTGGGCCCCCAGTCTGGCAGTGGGGGTTCAAACACACAGGGGCAGTCCAGGACGGGAAGGGCGGGAGAGAGGACGAGATGTCAGAGCCCCGCAGTGAGCTAGGCCTTGGGGCTGGGTCGTGAGCCAGCCGACATAGACTTGGTGTGCCCACAGCCATTGCTCCCGTGGGAGAATGAAGGTGACACGGTGGGCAGTGGAGCCAAGAGAGGCGATACAGCTGCCTATGTTCTTGGACCTCCTGGATCCAGCCAAGCCTGAAGTCAAAATTATCACTTGGACTATTTAGTTACATGAGTCAATACATGTCCTTTCTTGCTTAAGAAGGTTCAAGTTGGGTTTCTGTCTCGTGCAACTGAGTCATGGGGGTGGGTAATGGGTCTCAGAACCTGCCAGGGGGTGGAGAGTTCCCCTTTCAAAAGTTGTCTCCCCTCACCCTATGGTGGGTCATGGACCAGGCCGCCACCAGCCGTGGGGCCGAAGGCTGGCCAGCCCCGGGACCTCAGGGTCAGGCTGGGGAGAGGTCAGTGTGGTAAGGCTGGGGCTGTGACAACACGGCCCGGGGACTTGGAGCCCTGGGATTCCTCGGTGGCGAGATGCTGAGCAGGCACAGCTGGGCTGTAACCCTGGAGGCAGGGGTGTGCCCAGCCCCCAGCCCCGAAATACCAGGCCTGACCCAGGTAATTGGCTCTGATTGAGAGCGTTCACCTGACTTGGGAGGTTCAGCGTGAGGTCAAGCAGAGCAGAGCCCATGACCGAAGATTCGCTCTGTCGGACGCTGGAGCTGCCTGTCCTTCCACCGTGCGTGCCCACAACCCGGTCAGTCATCAGGGGGACACCAGCGGTGACCCCTGAGTAGGAGTGGGTGGCCTTGGAGTGTGCATGTGGGACCCCCTGCGCGTGTGAGCTCTGAGTGTGGGGGCGCTGGTGTGTGTGCACCGAAGCCAGCTGAGCAGACGAGCACACAACCGCAGGTGGTGTGAGCTGAGTGCTGCTACACGTGGCGTGTGTCTGAGGGCGTCCCGAGGAACTTGGTGTGAGAGACCCCTGTGTGTGCCAGCCAGTTGATGTTCCGAGGGGCGGCTGTGGGCTGCCATGTTTGTATCAGCCCTTCTGCCCCTCTCGGGCGATTTCAGCCGCTCACGCGTGCCAGGCGCTGTGTGGCGCCCCGTCCCAGACCTTGCGGTGCGCCGCGCGTGTGCATACCGGCGGGGTGGCAGATCCTGCCTGCCGTGGTGGTGGCTTTACCTGCCGGCTGTGGCAACTACCCCGTCTGAAGACTTTCTCCGGCTAGAGAAGCCCGCTCGGCTGCACCAGGGACAGGGAGAATGTTCTCCAAGGGGCAGCCTCAAACAATGGCCCTTCAGAGTCTGCGAGCCAGTGTGAGTGCTCTCTCCCCTTTCCTGTCAGGTGGCTAACTTTGAGGTGTGCTCTCCACTGTCTCCACCCTCCTCGGAGGGGGACCTGGGTGACCACGACACCCTGAATTGGCTTCCTTTCCTTCCTTGTTTCACTGCCCACTCCCTCTGGGTGCTCCCCGGGTCACCTCCCTCATCAACCCCTGCACCCTCCTCCTGTCCCAGGGTCTGGTCCTGCCCCTTCCTGTTCCCACCATCCTGAATTGTCACCTCCCATATCACTGGGGCACTAATGAGCCCTGGGCTGAGCCCCATTGCCTGGGGTGTCCTCCTCGGCCCCACCCCGTAGGCCCTGGCAGAGAGAGGAGGCCAGTCCCCTTGTAGGGGTGTGCAGAAGGGCCTTGCATGTGGCGCCGTACGTAGATCCAGGATGTGTATGGATGGGGGAGGCAGGAAATGCCTAGCCCAACAGTCTCCTGGGCTGGGGGAGGGGGGCGGGGGGTCCTGTGTGTTGTTGGAACTGGGTGTTGGTGTGGTTCGTGCTGGAGTGGCTGGACACCATCACCGTGAGGGCTGCCACATTCATTCTGGACAAGAGGGCCCCAGAGCACAGAGGTGGCACCTGAGCCACTCACAGCAGGTGTTGAGGACAGAGGTGTGATTATTTCGCATTGGGGTGGGGGGCGCTTAGGCATCAGGCTGTGTGCCCAGAGAGAGATGCTGGGGGGCAGGAGGGATTCCTTTTTTTTTCTTTTTAAGATTTTATTTATTTATTTTATTTGAGAGCGAGAAAGAGAGAGAGAGAGCATGAGAGGGGGGGAGGGTCAAAGGGAGAAGCAGACTCCCTGCTGAGCAGGGAGCCTGATGCGGGACTCGATCCCGGGACTCCGGGATCATGACCTGAGCCGAAGGCAGTCGCTTAACCAACTGAGCCACCCAGGCGCCCCCAGGAGGGATTCCTGAAAGTAGAATGCTTGACTGGTTAAATCTCAGGGAACATCGCCAGGGTGGAAGACCAGCTCAGAACCCAAACAAGGTCTGTCTAAACTTCTAATGTCTGTGGACAGTAGGTTTGGAAGCGTGAGAAGGGAAGTGCGTGGCTTTGAACAGTGGCAGCAGGCGACCTGCAGGTGGCAGTGTGGGCTTGGAGTGGGTGCAGGCCGGCTGGGACCTGGGCCTGGCGCTGCACCTTTCTTTTTCTTCAGGACTGAGCCCCACTTTCAGGGCACTCCGGGGTCTAGGACTCTGCTTGTGGATGCCACTTGAGTTCGAGTGGGAGGGAAGGGTGACAGAGGAAGGGAACCAGCCTCTGTCAGCCAAGGGATCAACGAGCACACAGAAAAGAATTTCTGCAAGGGGAGGGAAACAACTCATTTCTAATTACCAGTCCTCCCACCCCCTTCGTGGTAGTGGAAAACGTCAGGGTGCTGAGAGTCAACTGCTGGGCTAGGAAAATGTGCAGTCCCTGGTGTTCCGGAGTCAGGGCCAAAACCTGATGGCCCGTGTTGGTGACATTCACACTGGTCACGGCTCAGAGAGATGATGTGGTGTTTCAGGGAGCTTAAGAAAAAAAGTGAGTCATGGAAGTCCCTGACTACCCCAATAGCGGTGTCAACAGGGAAGTGAGAAGGTTTCGGGGGCTGCTCATCTTGAGAGAAGGAAGGTATTTTTGGTTTGCTGCTATTTATTACACTTACAAGTGTCCGATGGAGCGAGCCCCTCACCCCATGCACTCCTCGAGAATGTTATTTTTGCAACATTTTTATTGATACGATATATTTATTTTGAACACAGAAAAGATACATTGTTGCTTATTTAGCGCTTAATCCAGGAGCGAGAAAAGCTGTTTAGCTCCATCCCTCAAACACTGA